AGTCACCAGATTTAAACATCATGCATTTCAAGTTCGTTGGTTTTTGCCACATATAGCATGTTAAATATGCCACCACCTTCCATTTTCATGCATCCTCTGTGTTTGTCTGTAGTGTTTACAAAGATCTCATGAACCACGTGATGCAGTTTTAACATTAGCAAAAACAAAACTGGTTATAGCTCAGTCAATTTATAAAGGTTGAGTTAAGCTTTAGTGTGGTAGTAGCTGAGAGTCATCGCCAACACAAACACGAGCATTAACTTATTGAGCAAGAGCTTTCCTTGAAACTTCGGCATTAACAGCTGGAGGTAACTCTGAACATGACATCAGAAAATGCCTTTAGAACCGATTAACTTTTGGAGTCGGCACACTTAAAGATGGCTGCTCAGCTGATCCACCACAGCCTTCTTAAAAATGGTTAAAACTTCAAGTGTTTCTCAGATATTAAGCAATCGACCAGAATCGAGCGAGATCACAAATAATACTGACGTGACGAAACGTCTACAACGTTCATTTATCAACATTAGATCTCAAGTCTGGCCTGGAAGGCAGCAGGCTTCAACCTTCAGGCCTTCCAGGATCGTTAGGCCTCTGTTAATTGTTAGGACAAGTACAAGCAGTTAACTGAGCTGGACCCTCACATTCTTGATGGTTTATTCCAGAAACAAACGAGGGTTTCTCTTGTAATCTGCTGTATTACATGCGGATGTCTCATCACATTAATTTGCTCTGGATCAGCCTCCAAAGTGTGGTCAGGGGGAACAAATGATGGAGAGGAGTTGTGTGACCTATCCTTTATTCATTAGCTTATCTGTCTGCTTTGGCCTTTAGGCTGCGGTTTCGGCAGGCAGGAGGGACGGGGTGCGTGTCACAGGGATAAAAAAAGACCCAGAAATGAGAGGAACGCACAAACATTGCCTGTTTAAGCAGCATGATCACCTGTGGATTACTGGGAGAGGAAATAAATATTTATGTTGATGATGCTGCCATGGTGGGAGGTGAGCGGAGGGGGTCGGCTCACATGGAGGAGCTGCAGAGCTGTGAGTTATCACCTTCCTCTTTTCTGCTGAGCCCCAAAGCCCTCAGACTGTATATCTCCCCTCGTAATGGCCTCAGACTCACTCCGTCATGCGAGCAGAGAGGAGCCACTTCATCAGCGTGAGCTGTACGGCTTACTCTGGGCCGCCTGCCTCCTCATCGAAACTGCAGCATTTTACTTCTTACCTTCTGCACTTCTACGCAACACTTTTCATGTTCTCACAATATTCTTAAGGAACTTCTAAAGCAGCTGCAGAACAGACCGATGCTTCTGCGAGAGCTTAGTGACATTAAAATAACTAGAAAATAAAAATATTAAAGAACATTAAACAAGACGGAAAACTTTCAGTCCATTAACGTACGAGTGGCACGGTGCACGAGTCCTGCAGGATGGTTTGATACCACCCACCGCTCTGAGCTGCTCCGGTCCACTGAGAGTTCACTGAGACCTGCGCGGTCCATCTGCAGCTCGGTTCGTTCCACCAGAACCCCACTCCCCGGCCCCTTGCCAGCCTCGGGCTCAGTCTCTGGCTTGTCAGGGCGGCCGTCTCCATGATGCTCCATCTGCCTGCATGAACCAAACTCTATGGAACAGTTTGGTTCTGCGGGAAACTTCGAAGGTTCTGTGTCTGCCAGACCTGGTTCTGGAGGGCAGGCGTCATTCATTGATGCAGTCATTACTATCATCATGCTGCCAACAGGACCATGCTGCTAGCAGAACCACACTGTTAACAGTATCATGCTGTTAACAGGACCACTCTGTTAACAGGACCACACTATTAGCAGAGCCACACAGTTAACAGTATCATGCTGTTAACAGGACCACTCTGTTAACAGGACCACTCTGTTAACAGGACCACTCTATTAGCAGAGCCACACTGTTAACAGTATCATGCTGTTAACAGGACCACTCTGTTAACAGGACCACTCTGTTAACAGGACCACTCTATTAGCAGAGCCACACTGTTAACAGCATCATGCTGTTAACAGGACCACTCTGTTAACAGGACCACACTACGAACAGTATCATGCTGTTAACAGGACCACACTATGAACAGGACCACGCTGCTAGCAGAGCCACACTGTTAACAGTACCACTCTGTTAACAGGACCACGCTACGAACAGTATCATGCTTTTAACAGTATCATGCTGTTAACAAGACCACTCTGTTAACAGGACCACACTACAAACAGTATCCTGCTGCTTATAATCAGTGTTTTTATAACACTTTTAATTTTAATTGCTTTTATTGTTGTTTATTGCTGTCTGTTTAAACAGGTCTCTCTTGAAAACAGGTCCTCGTGCCTCAGTGAGACCAACTTGTATAAATAAAGGTTAAATAAAATAAATAAAATAAATAAAATAAAAACACAGGAGGCTGGAAGAAGTGAGGCTGCAGTAGCATTGATGTTCTGTCATTAAGGTTCTGGTTGTGTTCCAGCGTAGCTCGTCCACACCAATCAGGGAAAAGCATTTCTTTATGGACCTGGGTTCATGTAGGAGGGCCTTGTCATGAGGAAAGATGAATGGCTGTTCCCTGTGCAGCACCCCCCCCCCCCCCACACACACACACACACACACTCCTCTACTCCCATTTCCATTTCCATTAACTATCTCCATGGCTGTACTTTCAGTAAAATATTTACCGTTGGCGATGTGTCATCAGAAATGCTTCAGTTCGGTTTCTTTACACTCAAAAGTTTGAATCAAATCCAACACCCAGTTCAGTTTAATCCATTATAATCCAGTTCAGTCTACATAGATTTCAAACTGATATAATCAGAAATATTTAAATATTCCAGATGAGATAAGTCATTTTGTTGCTGGGAAAGTTCTCGTTAGCCTCGACAAGGTGTTCTTTCAGGTCAGTGTGCAGAACCTTCATCCTCCAAACCATCCCTGGTCTTTTATCACATCGCAGTGAACTGCAAAACAAATCTGAAATGCCTATGAATTAAATAAAATAATTAAACGGCACTGCTACTTTAGCAGAATAAGAGCCCTAAAAAAAAAAAACTCTTCAGAGGATAAAAAAAATCTGATCCACTAAACCAGGAGATGAGCCCATGTTCCTAAAAGACACATTCCACCATTTGTGGAAGAAACTGCAACGTCTAGTAACGCTGAGGCAGAACCCCATTTCCTGGTGTTGCTTGACCTTTTTGCCAGTAGGCACGGCATCATTTCTAGAAACCTTTTCATCCACACTGAAAACACACAGAAAACAGTCAACACTAGCAACTACAGTGTTTCCCCTAGATAACTTGCCATGGCAGGGCGCTCATCGGTGGGTGGGGGGTCGACAGAGACTCGTCTGAGCTGCGTGCTGTTTGTTTGGAGCTGGGGGGTGGGGGTGTTGGGTGTGAGGGTTCAGCGTGAGAGAAGAGGAAGCCTTCGGCCTGAGCGCTGCCTTTAGCTTTTAGCTAGCGCACCTGTACTGCGCGCCACTAAGCGTGCGCCACAGCACTAAGCTGCGTCCGTGCAGTTTGGTTCGGTTGACGGGGCGGGGCGCCCCGCTTGTATAATGGTTGGGGGAAACACTGAACTACGACAGGCTTGTTTGTGGTGCTGTCCCAACAAACACACCAGAAACAGTAAAGATGAGGTGGAGCAGATGCTCCGAAGTACAAAACAGAAGAAAAAGACAAGGACGGACAAAACGAAAGCAAGAATCTAATTCTGTGAACAGACGATGGATTAATCTTCTCTTTTGTGTCTAATTAAACTACTGACCACAAGTGTCGGTCTGAATCTGTAGACATGATGAACGGTTTGAGGCGGCGTCCCCAGCGAGGGACAGAAGGAACCATAGAGTCGACAGCCTTCAAGTTACTCAGCTCAAATGATGGACTGAGGACATTTACTTCCCCCCTCTTCGCTTCACTGAGATTTTACCAAACAGTTAGGGTCATCGTGAAGGGACTCAACACTCACACCAAATGCTGTACCACATTTTCCGCGCTACATGTTGCTCCGGAGTATAGGTCACATCAGTCAAAAAATACATTATGAATAATAAGTCGCTTCGTCGCAGGACTGGTCAAACTAAGAAACAAACACGGTACATCAAATACACCAAACTATTCATTACAAGGCAACAAAGTTCACGCTCAGTCATCCAACTTTGTTGCCTTGTTTGAAGGCCCAATCCTTCATTTCATCCTAAATCAGAAGAACTGGGACGTCCATAGCTCTTCGGATGATCGGAAAAACTGGTGTAGAGCTCCATGGTAGAAACCAGGGGTGAAACAGAAGCGGAGTCTCACCAGGGCCGTGTGGAATGGTCCGTGGATCATTAAGTTTATAGATTACTCAAACCGTCATCAGGTTAAAGTGTGAAAGAAATGCGTTTCTTTTGTCTCATCGGGACCATAAATCTCTGTTTTTCCTTGGAGTGGAGCAACAAGGCCTCCCTGCCCTGTTAGACTGTCCATCAGAGCTTCCATAATGAAAAGCACCCCCCCACACACTTTCGCTGCCATCGGCTGATGTCTGTTCCAACTTTCCCCACAAGCTCTCAGCAAAGTCGCGGTCAAAGTCAAAGCGGTGCAACAACTAACGGTGAGAGCGAACAAACGGCCGCTCACTGCACCGAAGAGCTCGTCCTGGGATCATCCAGCGAACAACTGATCCCAGTACAGCCCCCCGTTAGAGAAAAGAGCTGAAGCAGATCGTTGGTAAACCTCCAGAGGCTCTGTGCAATAAATCCTTACAATACACCCAAACCTAAAAGTTTAATTCCTCTGTAGTAAAACTCCTGACCAAAGGTCGACAACTAAAGACTCGTTAAAAATTAAAATAAAAGACGTTCCCTCGTGTTACGTTAATGAGAAACACTGAACTGATTTGCATGAGCACAAGAGAAACCTCACTACTAATATTCTTGTAAACAGGATTCTTCTTCAGCACAGAGCTGCACTGAATTCACGTGCACACAAATAAAGAAGTGTGTAAATCCTACCTTTCCTGCGGCAGAGGCTCCTTGTTCCACAGAGAAGCTGCAGGGACACAAATGAAAAGGACAAATTAATCAAATTAATTAGACGTTGAGCATTAACTGGCTGCAATGGATGTTTGGAAGAGCAGGAACTGCTTTCTATGATCTGCCAAACAGTTTGCAGAACTTGAAGACCTCTTTAATGTTATTTTTTTACTGTTTAAACGTTATATAATTGTATAGTTTACAATCTGCTTCTTTGTACACTTTAATTTGGTTGGTGGCAATTTTCCTTGAGATTCTGGGCAGAAAGGGGCAGGATTTGCTTGTAGCATTTGTTTTCTATAAAAAATAAGAAGAATCTCGAGCGGAGCTAGCCATTTGTAACGAAACTTCCAATCTGAATGGTTTACCAGTCACCTCGAGGTTCTGCACTTGATGACTGTAATTTTCGCCCTATAAGTTGCAGGTTTTTTTGCATAAATTAGCATTCCAGCAACTTGTACAGTGAAGTGACGCATTTCTGTTTTTTTCCCATATTTATAAAACAATTTTGTCTGAGATCTGACGATTTCATTCATTCTGACATGGAAAATATTGAACACTACCATTTTCAGCCACTAGAGGGCCCTCAACTAATATGACAAGCCAAGTGTCTCATTAATAGGTCAAAGTGGCTATTAATGAGGCACTTGGCTTGCCATACAGAGCCACCTTCGTCTCGCTCGGGAACTCCTGGAGCAAACGTCAAATCAGCTGCATTTCGCCGCATCGCCCAGGAGAAATGAAGCTGATTTGACCGTTAAAGTGCATTTATTAAGGAAAAGTTCAACAAGACACACCTTTATTATAATTTCAAGCAAACAAATAATTGTTTTTAAGTATTAATCTTGTTAAATTCTTGTTAGGGTCTTCCCGTGCACGCTCCTGCGACCACCATTTGGCAGCCAATCGATTTTTGGCACAACACCGGCCCACATTCCCGGGTTGTCAGTGGGAACACATAATAGATGCGACTTATAGAGCAAAGTGACGTATTTATGTTTTTTTCCACTTTATTAGACATATTTGGACTGATGCAACTTATATGGTGGCAGTACGGTAGGTTTTAATTTTCATAATTCTCAGTTTGAGTCAAGATAAACAAGATGAACCGTTTTCTCCGCAGTTTGAAGACGTGAGAGCCGTTACTGAACTAGAACAGCTTCAGTACCCGAACACTCTCAGCTGCTCATGTTGCCAGAGAAACTTACATTTGTAAAGTAATCTTCCCGTTCTGCATTAAAACCCTGCCGTGTGAAAGCAGCTTTGCATGCAGGTACAGCTGTTTGTCTTCTACACCGACAGCATCAAACCGATCATTTGGTGCCATAAGTGGAGCAGTAAATTATTGTGAACCTCTTCTTCATCTGTGTGTCAAAACCCAGCGGTGGCTCCTGGGAGGAGGCGCAGCGCCTCGTCACACTAAATAATTAAACTTAAACACTGACGTTAGCCAAACACCAACAGAATGCAAGCGTTGTCTGAAACAGTTCCATTTTTCATGCAGTGCTCCCAGCTCTTGTTTTTATTTCTGATATATTAAAGTCTGACACAGATTTGATTATTTTTCATTAAAATTTGAGTTCTCTGCTCCGAGGCATTAAATGGCGACTCCTCTGACAGATTATAATAAAATGGACAAGTTTTTCCAAACTGCTAGTATTAATGTTGACAAACTGAAGTTATGTAATCCCTTGTTGTACAGATTACAGTCATGGGAAGACTGGGAAAAAGGAAGCAAACCCTTTCACGTAGTAATGATCTGATCTTTACCAGGTTCTAAAAAGCTTCATTAACTTCAAGTCTATTAAAACACTTTAAAACAAGTGTCATAAACATCGTGTCATTATTACAGAACAATAAAAAGTTAAAGGCTGTGAGTGAAAAACTGGTTCTGGTCCTCAGGATTCAGAGGTTCAGGTTCAGCTGCTGGTTAACTGATCATCATCAGTGGGACCAAGTTTTTGCTGCTCTGGAGCGCACAGGTGTGGGTTAACACAACGCCGAGGCAGAACGACATCAGCAATGTCCTCAGAGAAGCAGATGTTGCTGCCCATCAATCTGGGACGGGTCAAAGGTCATGACAGGACAAAACAACATGGCAGCACAGCTGAGGTTTGTAAAGTTTCATCTGAATGAAAATATTTGTGGAACAGCTCCTCCCAGCTGTCAGCACGGAGGTGGAGGGCTCATGGTTTGGGCTCCATCTGTCACAAAGTGGACCATGAACTCCTTTGTAGACCGAAGGGTTCTGGAGTCAACACGAGCCCATCTGTCCAACAGTTGAAACTTGGACCACACTGGGTCCAGCAGGACCACGAACCCAAACACAGCAGCTGATCTACAACAGAACGGGTCAAAAACATCTAAATCGCAGGAAAAAGTTCCTGCTGCACTTCAGTTTGTTTTGGTTGATTAATATTGGAAAGTCAGCTGTAATTTTGTACACTTGAGGTTAGATTTTTGTACTTTTTTAAAATGAAATGAATAAACTATATACCATAGATTGTATTCATTTTAGAAACCAGTGAAGACCAGATCGTTTTTATGTCCTGATATGTAAAATCAGAGGGTGCCAGAACGTCGGGGCGGAGTCAGTCACCTCGCCATGCTGCTGTTGGTGGAGCTTTCTGTGATCTGCGAGCTGGCGATCCACTTGGTCTCCCCCACCACGGTCCTGGCGTGCGGCAGGCGGCCCACGTCCTTCACCGTCATCATGAGGTGTCGCGAGGACTTCAGGACCCGGACGGCCTCGTCGTGGGGGATGCTCAGGAAGTTGTGGCCGTTCACCTCCAAGATCTGGTCGCCGACCTGCGGGGAAGGAGTGGAAGAGAGAGGCGTGGTGGGAGGGTCTGAGCAAGGGGGCGGAGCTGGCAGAGCCTGACGCATGCACAGGTTCAGAGGTCAGAGGTCAGAGAGAGGTAACGTCAGAAATGGAGATGGAGGTGTATGAATCACAGGGAGAACGTTAGGTCTGTTGAACGTGTGAAGTACGACAGAAGGATTAACGCAGGTTCTGTTCAGTCACAGCTTCAGAACGATTTAACATCCAACTGAACGTCTTTTAAGGTCATTTTACTTTGAATTAAAGAGCTCAGGCTGAAAGAAGCAGCAGAGTAATGATGTCCATACTAAACACCACCTTGGACTGCACCTCCGGTAACGAGCTGACGTGATGGAGCTGGGACAGAATCACCGTCTTCGCACTCGTTTAGCCCTGAAACTATCCCGGTGAATTTAAACTGGATTTATTTAGTCTCTACAATAAAAATATGGCAACTGTCACAACAGTTTGTTTTATTAAGACTGGCATCTAGACCAACACTCCCTCCCAAAACTGAACATCCCAGCATTTGTTTCTGCTAATGTAGTTTATTTTGAAAGGATTACTGAGTGGAAACACTGGTCAGGGGTGAGCTCAGCTTTTCTGTAAGTGCGCACCCCCTCCACATCGGTTTGTGGGGTCAGTGAAAATGAAGAAATAAGAAGATCTCCAGCTAGCTGAAGGTCTCTGCACCTGAAGCTTCCACTTCATTAGAAGGTTTTTCAGCTGCAGGAGGTTCGGTCAGTAAATTTAAATTTGGAAAAAGCCCAATCTGGTTTGACCCGGTCCTTTTTCCGTTAAGTTGTACCCTTTTTAATCGGCTTTCCTAGAACTGATATTGAAACACTTTAATCTTTTGTGTTCATTTTGGGCTTCATATTTTAGTTTTTAACTTGGGTTGAGTAAAACTAAACATGTAACTTTGTCTGATTTTACTCTACGGCACTTCGGACCAGCGTGTAGTCATAAAAGTGCTTCTTAAATAAACTGACACATTTTACCAGCAGATAAAACGCTGACAAAACAATTGATCTCAACACGTCACATGATTATGGAACTATATAAATGTATATAATATATAATAACTATGTGTAGATGTCATGCCTTCAGGACATCGGTTGTATGTACTCAGGTTAAAAACGTGACGATCGTTCATTTAAAGATAAAACTTAAGTTGCACCACAGACTGTAAGTGTCATGGACAGTTTTTGATTCTTCAGTCCTGTTGAATTCTCAACAGAAATAAACGTTGAATCCATATTTTAAAGTCTGCCTCGAGAAAACTTTACGTTTTTAGCCCAGAGTTCTTTTAGAACCCTAAAATGTTTAGAGTACGGACTCGTACCGTATATTTGAACTGCAGACACTAAAGAAAGGCTTCAGGGGACAAACCACGTCCTAGAACAAGAACTGAGCGTCAACTGAAGGTAATTAACACGAGAAGAAACTAATAACTTGTAGGTTACTGCAGACGTGAAACACCTTTAGTGTTTTAATCACAAGGATCCATCAAGGTGACCGTGGACAGGAACATCTAGAGAAGTCGCTTCCGTGTCAGAACTTAGCCCGACTTCATTTAGTTCATCAGTCACAATAACTGAGTAAGAACTCCCCCTTGAACAAAACCATGGAGTCAGTGGTCTTTTAAATTACTCCGTCTGACATTTAGACTTGAAGAGTTCAGCTTTTTTCTTTTCAAACGTCTCCAAATGAAACCGTTTCTGTCCCGCCTGCCAAACCAATCTACCTTTTTTTAAATTCTTCAGCGTCAGAAATTGATCCAAGCTACAAAAAAAAAAAAAAAAAAAAAAAAGAGACTTGCATATGAAATTATTGAGCGTTTACCAAAATAAAAAACAAGTTTCATTTGAGCAGGTGAATTAATCACACGGCTAAAGGGTTTTCTCCTCACAAAGTAGTTTTCTGCACTGAACACAGACAAAATGCAAGATGGAGGTGAGACGACACCTGGGTTGGTTAAATGACATCTTAGACATGATGTGGAGCCGACATTAAGAACAAAAGCTCACAAGGTATGGAAACATCTAATGTTTGGAATTGTTTTTGATATTTTCCAACAAACTGATCAAAAGCCAATGCTTAGACTGATACCATGATGCCTCCTCTAAAATGTGATGCAGTTTCTTTTTTCCTTCTTCTTTAGAATTAATTACCAGTAAAACATCTCAGGGCATGACTATAAAAAAGAAAAAGAGTAGCGCACGAGACACGTTTAAAAATCATTATACAACAATCTATAGCAACGGTCCGGACAAGCAAAGACTTTGTACAACATTTGACCTTGATTTGTGACCTTGACTTTGAAGCTGGGGTGATTAAGTGTGTACGCGACACTCCGTCTAAAGTTGATGCGTGCGTGTTTGAAGTGTGATTAAATTTCTTGAGCGGATCAGAAGTTATGGCCCAGACAAGAGTAAGTTTACGGACGGACACAGAGATTGTACCGTAATACATCCACCTTCGACGGGAGTATAAAAATTACAAATATTTACTTTGAAAACATTTTGCTGCGTTTATCTTAACATTTTAAAACAAAAGTGTAGCGTTAATTCTACTTTTATAAGTCTGGATGCTTTCCTGGATAGAATCCAGGAATTATCCACAACCAAAAAAAAAAAACCCCTTCAACATCTGTCAACACTCATCACTCGCAGCCACATTCAAGTAACTTCCTGCATTTCTATACGTTTGTCCCTCTGTTAGCAAAATATCTCATTTTAATGATTTTTTTTTCTTAAATTGTTGGATAGTCATCTTTAACTGAACACCTTGTGGAGTCAAACTGATTCAAGATGGTCGCCAGAGTCAACAACCGGTAACACAAAAGGCTTTGATTCAGTTAATTTTACAGACAGAGTTAAACTCTGGAGTGGTAGTAGCTGAGAGTCGTCTCCAACACACACTCTGAGCATCTTTCTTTAAAACTTTAATATGAAAGCCGATGAGCGAAATGAGTTTCACCTCTAAAAAACATTTACTGACCCCGTCAACATGACCAGTTTAATCCTAATTATCTAAATAACTAAAATAAAAAGTCATAGAAATATTAGTGTTAAAATTGTATTTCCTGTTCTGTTAAGTTGAGCGTGGAAGAGGAAGCCCCTCGATCACAACGCTCTGTGTGTGTGTGTGTCCTTGTTTATGCTACTTTGTGAGGCCCATTTTTCCAACTTATACTACATTGTGAGGACCAACTGCTCCTTATGGGGCCCAAAGCCCGGGCCCCATAAGAAGAAGTCCCGTTGGTGGGTTATGGGCTAGGTTTAGGACTAAGGTGTGAATTGAGGATGTGTTAGGTTTAGGGTTAGGTATGTACTGGTAATGGTTAGGTTATGGATAAAGGTCATGGTTAGGCTATAGAAATGAATGAAAAATGAATGGAAGTCAATGCAAAGGCCCCACAAAGATAGCAAAAAAACCTGTGTGTGTGTGTGTGTGTGTGGTAAACACTTTTATCACAACAAATCCTGTGGCCGAACGAGTTTAGAATATTTATTCATATTCTGGGAGAAGAGAAACAGCAGGTGGTTGATGAGAGGTAGGATCTGCTGCTTGTTGTTCTCTGGGCAGGATGATGTCCCCGGCAGCACGAGGACGTTAAATAAAGATCTATTTCCAACAATTCTAAAAATGAACATTTCATTTCTGATCCAAACTGCCCGACGATGAGAAGTGCTGAATCTCCAGAGGCGGACATGCAGGTTTTAGGTTCAACAACAAGCTGTTTGTTCCAGATGTTTGCAGCTCAAAACGGCCTCAAATGAGTCGGCAACACGTTTATTGGAAAGATTTACACGAGCTCAGTTTGCAGATTGAAAACTGGACTTAAAATGTACAAACAAATCTGACCTAATCTGCTTTTACCAACATTGTTCTTAACATTTAGTTAAAAAAAACATCCTGAGCTGCACCAATAAAAACATACATGATCTGATAAAAGGTCATTTTGCTTTTTAAGACTGAGCAAATGTTAGACATGGAGTAATACCAATATACCCACTGTCCCTCCTCTGGACATGTCCAAACCACTGTCCCTCCTCTGGACATGTCCAAACCACTGTCCCTCCTCTGGACATGTCAAAACTACTGTCCCACCTCTGGACATGTCCAAACCACTGTCCCTCCTCTGGACATGTCCAAACCATCTCAGTGTGTCCTCTCTAACTTCATCTCCCAGGTGTTCAACCTGTGCTGTACCTCTGATGATCTCATTCCTGATCTTCTCCATCCTTGTCTCTCCTAAGAAGAACCTCAACATCTTCATTTCTGACACTTCCAGTTCTGTCTCCTGTCTTTTTGTCCATGTCTCTGTCTCCAGACCATACAACATAGCTGGTCTCACCACTGTCTTGTAAACTTTTCCTTTGACCATTGCTGACACCCTTTTGTCACAAATCACTCCTGAAACTTTTCTCCATCCACTCCATCCTGCCTGGACTCTCTTCTTCACCTCTTCACCACACTCCTCATTTTCCTGGACAGTGGACCCCAAGTCCTTGAAGTCCTGCACCTTTGTGACCTCTGCTCCTTGTAGCCTCACTGTTCCACCTCCTCCCTCTCATGCACACACATGGACTCTGTCTTACTACGGCTGACTTTCATTCCTCTTCATTCAAGTGCATACCTCCACCTCTCCAAGTTCTCTTCCACCTGTTCCCTGTCCTCACCACAGGTCACAATATCATCTGCAAACATCATCGTCCATGAGGATTCCTGCCTGACTTCATCCGTTAGTCGGTCCATCACCAGAGCAAACAAGAATGGGCTCAGAGCCGATCCTTGATGCACTCCCACCTCCACCTGTCCTCATACATGTCCTGTACCAGTCTAACGTGTCCTGTACCAGTCTAACGTGTCCTG